CTTAGTGAACCCCGACTTTTAACACATTGGCATAGGCATAGAGGGCTTGGAGCGCATTGCTCCCTCCGATCTAGCCCTTTCCTTGGACTGGAAGACCCACCAAGTGTGGAGGTGGAAAGGGCAGGTTCACATCAACATCCTCGAGGCTTCGGCCCTCGCTCGCCTCTTCACCTCGCTTGCTATCCAGGGGGGCCCCCTGAGGTTTGTCAATCTGTGCGATTCGCATGTTGCAAGGGCCGCCGTGTCTAAGGGTCGGTCTGCCTCGCCTGGACTTAGGCACGCCACGCGTCGCTCCTCCACGGTAGCCCTAGCGGCTGGCCTTTACCATGGAGGTATGTACTGCCCGACGAGGCTCATTCCAGCAGATAACCCTACCAGGGACAGGCCCTTCGAGCCACCAGTCCTCACCCTGGCCCGGCGTTCTGGGATGAGGACAAACTGCTTCTTGATGCCAGCAGGCCAAGGCTGCGCCGCTGGGCATCGAGTTGGGTTCGGCTGGTGTTTGCGGTCAGGCCGACCATTGCCCTGCTGCCTCTCCTCCCGGACAGCGGGAGGTATGCCTCCCTCCCCTTCCGAGCCTTCTCCAGGCCTGTTGCCTTCGACTCCACCTTTGGTTTTCCAGGCGAAGGGCCCCGGCGTCTTCCTTGGATTTCCTGCCTCGCCCTTGGACTTCTCACCTGCCCCCCTCGGCTTTCCTTCCCTTACGGGTTGAGGCTTCAGGGTTGTTTCGGCTTTCTGGTTTTAGTCGAGCCCGTCGCCGCCATGGAAGCTGCGCGAGCCAAGAAGACCGAGAGCCAAAGGAGAGAAGCACGAGCCGGGACGGTGCTGGAAAAGGGTCGGCCCATGCTGGCCTCTACGCGAAGCCGCCGTGAGAAACTGCAGGAGCTCTTTGAGGAGTGGTTGCGAGAACGTGGCCGTACCTGGGCTGGCCTGCAGGCCCTGGCTAAGTACGACGTGGAGCAGCTGAACGAGATCCTGATTTGGTACGGGCAGTGGCTCTATGCCGAAGGGAAGCCCTACTATCATCTCTCAGAGACCATAAACATGTTCTCTCTGGTTTGCCCTCAGGTTCGTCGCCAGCTCCAACCAGCTTGGGATATTTGTTTCTCGTGGCAGCGGCAGGAACCACCAGTGCACCACACGGCCCTGCCCTGGCAAATTTTGCTCGGGATGTTGTCCATCTCTATGCTCTGGGGATGGATGGACGTTGCAGGTATCCTAGCTATTTGTTGGGGCGGGCTAGCTCGGGTAGGGGAAGCGATGGCAGCTAGAAGGCGAGACCTTGTCCTTCCCGACGACGTTGGGGTGGACTGCGGTGCAGATGGGTCCATGATTCTCATGGCGGTCATGGAGCCCAAGACCCGCTTTAAAGCTGCAAGACATCAGTGTGTGAAGGTGGACCAGCCCCAGCTCGTGAAGCTGATTCGGTGCGCCTTCCAGCCCTTGCGTGCCGAAGAGAAACTCTGGCCAAGGTCGGGCGCCACTTTGCGTGCGCGCTTTCAGAAGCTCCTCAGCGCGCTGGGGATCCCGCCGAACGCGGTGGCGGGAGTCAGGGATTTTGACCTCGCCAGCCTCCGAGCTGGCGGCGCGACATGGTTGATGGGTTCCACCGAGAGCCCGGAGCTCGTACGTCGCCGCGGCCGATGGGTTACGGCCAAGGTCATGGAGATCTACATCCAAGAGATGGCAGCCATGATGTTTTTACCACGGCTGGAGCCAGAGCTGCGGGAAAACATTTTCCACTGGGCAAACGCTTTCGACGAGGCCTTCGAGTTCGTTGTCTGGTGCAAATCGTTGGGCCTTTTGCCCAAGTACTGGCTTTTTCTCCTACAGCAAGGTGTCATCTATGCTTGATGGCACGGGTGAGTTTTTACAATGCTTTAAGGTTTGGGTGTCAGCGGAGAAGCTTCGGCTGTACAGCTGGCCGAAAAATCTTTGTGTGACATCGGACCGGTGCAAAAGAAAGTGCGAGCTCTTGTTGCCTAAGAGCGAAGCATGCATCGTTGTTCCGTGCTCAAGCTTGCCCACCCGCCGCGCCCGACACCCTTGCAGCGGAGAAGCTTCGGCTGTACAGCTGGCCGAAAAATCTTTGTGTGACATCGGACCGGTGCAAAAGAAAGTGCGAGCTCTTGAATATCGCAGATATAGTGTAAAGCCTGGAGTCTCACCTCCAGAGCTTCTTGGAAACCTTGCAATATGCGCTGCCAACCTGCAGGACTCCTTCCCTCAGGACGAGGGCGGCTCAGCAATTGTTCCAAGTAAAGTTCTCTGAGCCGTTGCCGCAATGCCTCTGCAGAAAGTTCGCTGGCAGCCGTGGCTTTGGGCAGCTACACACCTATGGCCCCAAACAACCCAATCAGCAGGAAAGCTTTCGCACGATGGCCCCTGAACGCACAACCCCAAGTGCCAACACACGTGGGTCAGAGCTGGGTCGGCCCAGCTCCGCTACCATGAAAAATC